ACCCATCACATAGACCAGATACACCTGTGACTCGCTCCCTCTGAGCCCCTATTAGGAGACAGGAGATGAACCCACCAGTTACAAAACTGACCAGTTACGGAATCACTTCCTCATTCCTCTCTCTCTCGCACCTTCAGCAGAACAACACAGATGTCACAAGCATTGCAACTGGTGTAACGAGCAGAGATGGAGAAACCTCCGTGGGAATCGGGATGCTGGGTTTAGCAGCCAAGTCACTCAACAAATCAGCCTAATGGTGCATGATCTGAGTTTGTGTCTTAAGAAAACCACAAATCACAATGTTATGAATGGGCAGGCTATAGTACAATTGAAACTGTAAAGTTTAATCCCTAAAGGACAAATCTCTCCTGGATTTTGCTTAACTATGTGACACCAGTGTCAATTATTTGTTGTCTCTGAACTGCTGGTCTAGCTGTGCACACTGCACTGCGGCTGGCAGCACGAGTGCTGTTTAACTCTCGGAGGAAGTCACGCAGGGCTTCTGGCTGGAGGTGCCATCCCTGCAGCAGCAATGCTCACTCCTCCCCCCTCCACCCCGAGGTTCCAGCAACAGCCACGCCACAGCTACCCCTGCCCTCAGCAGTCTGGACACCAGCTGGTCCACCCCATTGGCTGCCCAAGCCCTAACCACAGAGCTCCAAGTTTCAGCCTTCTAAGGACGTCCCCAAGATCTTGATACTACTTCTTCCCCTACAGATGACAGTTGCTATCTCAAGCTGTTAAGTTCTGGGTTATGTCAACATCCACTTTTCGCCCTTTGGTCTCCCAATATCTGCTACTAAGCAATCTCCTATATTAACTTCCTTACGAAATAATTAACATGACTTCTCTTCTATTGATGCAATGCTGACTGATAGCAATTATTAGAATAAAAAGTATGTTTCATATGCCAGATCTTCTGTTAATGAAATCATAATGTGAAAAAGACTTTATTAAAATGCCAAGGTCTGTACTACAGAAAAGTTGTGACCACAGTCACGAAAGTCATTATGTAAAGTCAAAACTATGGTTGCTTACTGTTGTCTAAAGCATCCATGACTTATAAAAAATACTTGACCCAAACTGTCATTCATATCCAGTATTTATATCCCCAAGTCCTTTCTCACTCTTCCTGAGGCTGTTTCTATACAGACCACTGCAGCCAACACTTAAGAACCAACATTCTTAGGAATTTTCTACCAGTTATGCTAGTGGAGTTGGATTGAAATTTAAGATGAGAAAATAAATATCTAATTTTGTAAACTAGCTTTGTTTTAAGAGAAAATGGTAATTGCTCATTCTAGCCTCTATTTTATGAAAGGATTCACCAAAGGATATCTTGAAAAGCTTGATAGTTTAGATACCTAAACATAAATTTCTAAAAAATGGGATTATATCATGTTTTTTTTCTGGAGAAACATCTATAGCAAACTAATCATTATGCATTTTGTATAGAGCAAATATTTTATAAGTACATATTTTATTATGAAAAACAAACCTCCAGGTAAAATTTAAAATACATGAATTTTACCTAGCTTTTAATTTTTAATTGACACATAAAAGTTGTGCATATTTATGGGGTACCATGAGATGGCTTGATATTTGTATATATTATATAATGTCCAATTAGGACAAATATGTCCTCAAACATTAAACATTTCTTTTTTTAAGATTTATTTATTTAAAAGAGAGTGTGTTTCCATCTGCTGGTTCACTCCATAAATGGCCTGAGTGTCCAGGTCTGGGCCAGGCAGAAGCCAGGAGCTTCTTCTGTGTCTCTCATGTGGGTGCAGCTTGGGCCATCCTCCACTGATTTCCCAGGCCATTAGCATGGAGCTGGATTGGAAGTGGAGCAGTAGGAACTCAAACAAGTGCCCTTATGAGATGTCGGCATCTCTGGCGGCAGCTTTACCCATTACACCACAATGCCAGACCCACTTAGCATTTCTTTATTGTGAAAACATTCAAAACAGTTCATTGTCATTATCTAGAGTCACCCTATTATGCAATAGAACGCCAGAGCATTCCTCTAACTATAACTTAATATCCATTAATCCGCCTTTCCCTAGCCCTCCCTTCTTCCTACCCTCCCCAACTTTTGCTAACCACCATGAACGTCTGTAAGATCCACTGTTGTAGATTCCACGTGGGGGTGAGACAATGCGGACTCTGTCTTTCCATGTCTGATTTCTATCCCTTCACAGGGTGGCCTCTAGTTCCATCCATGCTGTTGCAGGTGAGATTCCAGCCTCTCTTGTGGCTGAGCAGGACTCCCTGGTGTGTATGCACCACACTTAGGGTTTCCATTTCCTGGATGTTGTGAAAGGTGCTGCAATATGCCTGGGAGTGCAGAAGTCTCTTCAACAGACTGATTTAACTCTCCTTGGCTATAGAACTCCCTTTGATATACACCCAGCAGTCCTACTGGTGGTTCTATTTTAATTTTGTGAGGAGTCTCCATACTGTTGTCCACAATGGCAACACTAATTTCTACTCCCACCAATAACATGCAAAGATTTTCTCCCATGCTCACCAACAATTGTTATCGTTTTTCTTTTTTATCACTGCCAATTTAATTAGTCGATTGTGGTTCTGATTTGCACTTCCCTGATGATTAGTGGTGTTGAACATCTTTTTGTGCACCCATTGTCTATTTGTGTGTCTTCCTTTGAGAAATGTCTGTTTAGGGCCGGCGCCGTGGCTCAATAGGCTAATCCTCCACCTTGTGGCGCCGGCACACCGGGTTCTAGTCCCGGTCAGGGCGCCGGATTCTGTCCCGGTTGCCCCTCTTCCAGGCCAGCTCTCTGCTATGGCCAGGGAGTGCAGTGGAGGATGGCCCAGGTGCTTGGGCCCTGCACCCCATGGGAGACCAGGAAAAGCACCTGGATCCTGGCTCCTGCCATCGGATCAGCGCGGTGCGCCGGCTGCAGCGGCGGCCATTGGAGGGTGAACCAACGGCAAAGGAAGACCTTTCTCTCTGTCTCTCTCTCTCACTGCAACACTCTGCCGTGTCAAAAAAAAAAAAAAAAAAAAAAAAAAAAAAGAAATGTCTGTTTAAATCTTTTTTTTTTTTTTTTTTTTTTTTACTTCCAGAGGCAATGGGACAGAGAGAAAGAGAGATGGAAAACTCTATCCCCTGATTCACTCTTAAATACCTACAAAGGACCCAAGCTGAAGCCAGAAGCCAGGAACTCAATCCAGGTCTCTTGCATGAATGGCAGGAGCCCAATATCTTGAACCATCAGTACTGCCTCCCAGGGTCTGTAGTGGCAGGAAGCTGGAGTCGGGAGCAGAGCTGGGGATCAAACCCGAGCACTTGGATATGGAATGTAGGTGTCTACCACAATGCCTTCCCCAAGTGCCTATTTTTAAGTTGGATTTTTGTAGTTTTGCTATTGAGTTGTCTCAGTTCCTTATAATAACCTGATTATTAACCCCTTGTCAGATAAATAATTTGCAAATATTTCCCCCCATTCTGTAGGTTTTCTCTGCACACTGTTGATTGTTTCCTTTTCTGTGTTAGCCTGACAAAATGCCATTTGTCTACACCTTCTGTTTTAAGGAAAATGCCTAGGATGTACTTCTTAGTGTCTATCCCACATGCCAGGAGTACCTCGCAGTGCACTAGGAGAAACTCAGAGTAAAACTCTTGCTCCTGGAGAATCTAATGTTATTGGCGAGGCTTCGAGGCCTCTTTACCATAAGAAGCTAATATGTGATCAATATTTGTTTATAGAGGATTAGCTTTGGTTCATGTATCAAACACATCTTCTAATTCATCACTTCCAAGACACACCTTGCTCTCTTCTCAACTCTGCAATCAAAATGGGACTTGCTATCAACGTGATATTTTAAAGTATTATGTTACAATGTGCAGCATTTTCTCTTTGATAGTGAGAAATATTATCACAGTGACAGTTGGCAGCATCTTAGATTGAAAAAAAATACAACCTATAATTGTATATATCCTTTAGAAAATATCTGACTATTGAGGCATGCTTCTCCCCCATTGTCAAATGGAACAAGTTTTAGGACCTCTCCACTCAATGAGCATTTAATCCTTCACAGGGAGGTGAGATCCACAGCCACTAGTTTATATGTTACAACCAACAGTCAGGGCCGGTGCTGTGACACAGCGGGTTAAAGCCCTGGCCTGAAGTGCCAGCATCCCTTATGGGCGCCAGTTCTTGTCCTGACTGCTCCTCTTCCGATCCAGATCTCTGCTATGGCCTGGGAAAGCAGTGGAAGATGGCCCAAGTGTTTGGGCCCCTGCACCTGCGTGGAGACCCAGAAGAAGCTCCTAGCTCCTGGCTTCGGATTGGCACAGCTCCGACTGTTGTGGCCATCTGGGGAGTGAACCAGTGGATGGAAGACCTCTTTCTCTCTCTCTCTCTCTCTCTCTGCCTTTCAAATAAATAAAATAAATATTTTTTAAAAACCAACAGCCAACAAGTAGTGCCGTTCTCAAAAGTATACATTTCTAAGAATTCTTGGATTTTTCAAATTACCAATAAATATTAAACATGTATCTCTTACATTGAACTTAATGTATGGAAATAGTGCATATAAAAGCTATGTACATAAAAGATTTTCTTATGTTACTGTTTGAAATGAGTCATGGGTGTAAAATACCTAAGAAATACAAAAATGGCCAGACTGTACACAAACTGAATAATTATAGGGGAAACACTGGTAAAACCTTATAGGTGAGATAGAATTAACATGAAGAAAAAAGAATAAAATGAAAAAAAGCGTACAAACATCACCAAGCTAAGAAAATGTGAATCCTCAGAGTATAACTTATGAAAATTTTAAAATAGGGGAATAATTCTGAGCCCTGTGTATAACATGTAAAATATTGGACAAATGAGATAGACATTTAAGGAATACGACCATTATTTGTTAATAACTATTGGCATCTACTTGTTCAGTGAGTGCTACGCCAGGTATCCATGTGTGTTAGTCTGCTTTTTATTATTAACTAAAGTACCTGAGAGGAGTTTCTTGGGGGGAAACAGGTTTATTTCAGCTCACAGCTTTGGAGATTACAGTTCAGGATCAGACAACCCAAACACTTCCCACCAGACCCGCCTCCAAAACCCCGCAATTAGACCAAGCCTCCATCTTTAATCCATCAACATTAGTACACCAGAGTTTAAACAGCTGCAAAAGTTTTGGGAAGACAAACCTTACTCAATCCCTAACAATGAGGCCACTTTAAAATGTCCATGGGAACATGAAATTAAAAGATAAACTTATTTTGATGCAAAAAAATAAATAAAAATCCATGCATTCAAGGGATATTTGAAAAGTTAATGGAAAATGTGCAAGATGAAAAAAGTACTCATGAATTTAAAATTTTTTTCACCAAAATGTTTTAGTCCAACTATTTTCAATACAGTGCTCTCACCATGTCTTAGCCTTGCACTTTCTCCCAGTTTGCTCTCGAAGGGAAGTTTGAGCTGATGTGGAAGTGGGAAGGGGGCAGGCAGAAGACAAACCATCCTTTCAACCACTGGTGAGCGTTGCTGGGCCCTCCCCTTGCACCCCATGGCCACAGGGGCCTCTGACATAATGTCGAGGACATCTGAGAGCTGCCCGGTCGACCATCTCTTCTCTCTCTCACTGTGCTTCCTCCTTCCTGGGATCAGGGGCACCGTGTGGAAATGCACGTGAGCTCACCTCAGCACACTCCAGCTCCCCGCTCTCACCAACTCAAACCCCAACAGAGCTGCCCACCCCCAGCAAGGAGGTGCCTTTCCCTATTGTACACGTTAGGGAATGATTGTCAGATGGGATGTGTGCATATTACTATAAAAGAGGAATATAGAATGTACCACAAACACTGAACCTAGAAAGGAAAACAAAACTCATTTTAACAAGCAATGTTCTATTAAGATCTCGAGAGGAAGAGGTGACAGCTAAAAAAAAAAATATAGTACTACTGTGACTATGGGTTTACCAAAATATTGTCCATCAGTATAGGGTGGTTATGCCCTGGAATGCTTTTCCATTGAGTTCCAGCTTCAAATTTTTAAAGTGTTTCAGGTGTTACAATTTTATGATTCGTTCCACAGAATCAGAGGGTAAAGTGAAAACCAGCTTAAATTCACCAAAGTGAAAGGGAGACAAATTTACAGAAGGGATGACATTATCTTTAAGATGATAATGACAGAGTTTGTGAAGGTAAGGGTTGCTTTTTCAGACAAAATATTTTCAAGAAAGCCTTCTGAAAATGCTTGTGACATAATGGGTACAAGAAGGGATTGACAAAGGAATTGAGCCACTGAAGCCAGAATGTGACTTTGTACCACTGTGATTTAGGGTGCACTGCTTGGGGGTGAATTGAATGAACAATTGTGTACAAAGAATAGGGAGTCCAGCAAACGGCAAAAACTCCTAAGAGGATGGCTAATTTACTGGCTCTAAACAGTTTGAGATGTTCCCTCTGGTGGAGGGATAAGGAATCTGAGTGGGAGAGAGAACTCATTTTAGAAGCAATTATATTGTTCTTTGTCTGAGTTTGCAAGGAAGTCAAAAGGCTGCCTTTTTTCCCCTGTCTCTCTGAATGAAGGGATGTACGTGCTTCCTCTGATGGGGGAAGAGATGTCCTGGAGAGTAGCCTACATCTGAGTAGGTATCCACAGACACTGGAAGGGACAGCAGGGAGCCTAGGATGGCCACCGTCCCTAGTGACATTGCCACGCTTCCTTAGGCGCCGGTAAATATACACATTGAAATATGCAACGAAGATGACTGGGACCAGGATTTCAAAGAGTGATGTGATGGCTAAGATGTACCACGTTGAAAAAAATCCGGGTTCACACGCCTGACTCCCATTCTTCCAAGACTCTGAAATTAGAATCATCGGCGTATTCACTGAGAAGGCCAGCACCCAAACAGCCGCCATCTGGAAGACAATCCTCAGGCTCCCTGTGTTCTGAGCTCTGTAAGATACCTAGAAGAGATCAGAGAAGTTGTTTCCAGTCTAATGAACATATATTGATTGCATAGGGCATCCCATAGATCCTCAGAAGTCTCAGGGGTGTGCAGGAGATGGGAGTGGTAACTAACCTGGGTATCAAGATTTGGGTCAGGACAAAAGACTCAACTTCAGTGGAGCCTGGGCCAAAATGCAAATTTCTTAATGTTTTTTAAGGGAAAGACTATAACCCTTGAGGTGAAACCTCTGGCACTACAGAAGATGTCGAGGCCAGTATCTAAAAGAAGAAAGCAATTTTTCCTAATCCACAGACACCAATCTGAGTTACTAACCTACTGAAATCGGGTGCACCCTATCACAGCATTTCTTAATCTGCAGACCAGGTCATGTCTTGTCAATGAAATAGAACAACCAATGTCAGAATGTACCACACTTAGCAAGGATAGGCATTGTTTGATGATACTTTACCAAATAAAGTCACATTATCTGTGGGAAAATGGACATAGCGAGAGGGAAATGCAGGCACTGGGTTACAGTGTAAAATGCATATCCTACTGCAGGCACAGTCAAAGAAAGGTTGAAAGCCACTGCCTTAACTGATTCCAGTACTCGGAAAGAATCTGCTCTGGAGTCTAAGCTGAGACTTTAAAGTGGGGTCAAGAGGAGGAAGGAGAACTCTGGTATCACTCCCAAGAAGATCCAGCACAAACAAAAAAACGTCGAACCTGCTGCCGAGAAGTGGGACAGCTGTTGAGCATTGCCAAGTCACTGCTTTCCCCAAGTGTTCTCACTTCACAAATATGCTGACAAAGCTGTGATAGTCAGACACTTTGAAAGACTCCCTGGACTAAGAGCCATGATCTTTAAGGGTAGAGAATGTTCTAGCTCTACTTGGTCACAAAGACAGGCTTCCATAAGGGAAAATGACGTTCTATGAGTGAGAATTGCCCCCCATCCACAAGACCCAGTATCCTTGTGTCAATCCTGAAAACTTTAATGATTTATTTATGTGTTTGAAAAGTAGAGCAACAGAGAGAGACAGATTGACAGGTGGAGATCTTCCTCCACTCGTTCACTCTCCAAATAGCTGCAACAGCCAAAGCCAGGAGCCAGGACCTCCATCTTGATCTTCCACGTGGGTAGCAGGGGTCCAAGTACCATCTTCTGCTGCCTTCCTGAGCACAAAATTAGCTAGCAGTTAGATCCGAAGAACAGCCAACTGGCACGTTGGTGTGAGAAGCTGGCATCACAAGTGCTGGCTTAACTTACTGCACAACAACTGGCCCCAATCCTGAAATCCTTCATATCTTCTGGGGCCGGCACTGTGGAGCAGCGGGTTAATGCCCTGGCCTGAGGCGCTGCTTCGAGACCCGGCTGCTCCACTTCCAATCTAGCTCTCTGCTATGGCCTGGAAAAGCAGTGGAAGATGGCCCAGGCCCTTGGGCCCCTGCACCCGGGTGGGAGACCTGGAGGAGGCTCCCGGCTCCTGGCTTCAGATCGGCACAGCTCTGGACATTGTGGCCAATTAAGGAGTGAACCATCAGATGGAAGACCTCTCTCACTCTCCGCCTCTTCTCTCTCTGTGTAACTCTGACTCTCAAATAAATAAATAAATAAATCTTTAAAAAAAATCTTCTAAATCAAAAGACACCTAATACCAACCATGCTACATGAAAGATAAATGTACAAATCAAGAATTTTTTAAGGGGACCTCTCTGGCTTTTCTAAGCCAACCTCTCGGAACCTCTTTTAGGTCTGTAAGTTTCCTTCCAGCTTTACTGTTTCACGTTTCCTAAGTCCCCTCACTTGTGGGAAAGGAAATGGCCTTCAGAAAATGGGAATGTGCTTCCCTTTGCCCTTTCTCATGCCATCTTTTGAGTTTTTAAGTCTCATTCTACAGTGTTTTCACACAGATGTACATTATCCTGCGTTGTCTTTCTTGGAAGACTGTACGTGCTGAGAAGGGCTCACTAACAGCTTGACGTTAGAGGGAGCTGATTAAGAATAAAAGCAAAGAAACCAAGTCATTTCCTTTTTAATTACCGGAAGTATAGCTGTTTTACTCTGAACAACTAGTATTTCTCAAGCCAGGCTCACATACCTCCCACGTTGACTGCAAGTTCCTGTGCATGACAAACTTTTTCGCCTTCTGTTTCTTGGGCCATTCATTAGCACATCTCCTGCACGAAGTCTAATGGTTATCAAGATGCTAACAATGCCCACATGGCCATAAAACTGCACTTAGTGTTTTAATTGCTCTATGCAGCCTTTGTAATGATATAAAGCATATGCTGGTAAGGGACCTCTCTCCCATCATGCATAGGTCATTTGAGATCATAGACAGCCAAGGGATTTGAGAATAAGAGACAAGTGTTATCATCTGTGGGAAGCATTGAAAAATTTTAAAAATATTTATTTTAAAGGCAGTTTAGCAAAGAGGGAGAGACAAAGGGGTGAGGATGGGAAGAGAGCAAGCGCTCTTCCTTCTGATTCACACAGCCAAAGGCAGGAGCAAAGAACTCCACCCAGTTCTCCAACATGGGTGGTAGGAATCCAGCTACTCAGGCCATCATCTCCTGCCTTCCCAGGCACTTAGCAGGAAACAGGACTAAAAGCAGAGGAGCCAGGACTTAAACTGGCACTCTAATATGGGATGCTGGCATCACAAACAGCAGCTGAACCTGTTGTGTCGTGACACCTGCCCTTGTGGAAAGCGTTTTTGACAGACAGTTCAAGTGTTGCTTGAATCCAGACCCAGGCTGGTGGGAGTGCCTCCCTCAATTCCAGCAGTGGCTGACTTCTCACCCACTGAGGCTACGCTCATCATCCAGAATACCATCTCTTCTCACCCAGCTTCCTTCTCCACCCCAGGAAACACCCAAATGTTCTGCCACCCAGCTTTCCTTTGTGAGGCAGGGCACCTGGTGTTAAGAATCAGATTCCAGCACCCATTCTAAGTGCGTCTTGTGGGTTGAATTGTGTTCCTCTAAAAATATATTTCAGTCCACGGGCCAGTGCTGTGGCTCACTTGGCTAATCCTCTGCCTGCGGCGCCAGCACCCCAGGTTCTAGCCCCGGTTGGGGCGCCGGGTACTAGTTCCGGTTGCTCCTCTTCTAGTCTAGCTCTCTGCTGTGGCCTGGGAGGGCAGTGGAGGATGGCCCAAGTGCTTGGGTCCCTGCACCCGCATGGGAGACCAAGAGGAAGTACCCGACTCCTGGCTTCAGATTGGTGCAGTGCCAGCTGTAGCGGTCATCAGGGGAGTGAACCAACAGAAGGAAGACCTTTCTCTCTGTCTCTCTCTCTCTCACTGTCTATAACTCTCTCTCTCTTACTGTCTAATTCTACTTGGCAAAAAATATATTTTATATTATATTTTCTATATTTATATATTAAATATACATATATATATATATATTACAGTCCTAACCACCAATACTAGTGATGTGGCCTTATATGGAAATACAGTCTTGGTGGATATCATTTTGGTAGGATGAGCTCCTGTTAGACAAGGGTCCTTCTAAGAAGAGAAAGAAACACATACATGCAGAGAGCACCACGTGGTGACGGAGGCCGAGGTGGGAGTGAAGCATCTTCAAGGCAAGGAACATCAGGACTGCCAACACCACCAGAAGCTAAGAGAAGGCATGGAACATCCTCATCTTGAGCCTTCAGAGAAAGGATGTCCCTGCCAACACCTTGATGGTAAACTCCTAACTGTTGGAAGCAGGGGAGAACAAATGCTTGTTGTTCGAAGCACAAAGGAAACTACTATGGTGCCCTAGCCAGGGCTCCCAGCCCCAGTATTGCTCTCATCTTGATTTCACTGGTACAGAAATGCCATGCCCGCCCTCTTCGTCCTGCATTTTGACTGCCAAGCCCTCCGGGCTTTCCCCTAGCCTGGCTGTCCTCCTCAACCCACTCTTGCTTCAACCACGTGGCATCTACGTAAGAGTTCAGCTTCCTGGCTGGCGCCGCGGCTCACTAGGCTAATCCTCCACCTTGTGGCGCCGGCACACTGGGTTCTAGTCCCGGTCGGGGCGCCGGATTCTGTCCCAGTTGCCTCTCTTCCAGGCCAGCTCTCTGCTGTGGCCCGGAAGTGCAGTGGAGGATGGCCCAAGTGCTTGGGCCCTGCACCCGCATGGGAGACCAAGATAAGCACCTGGCTCCTGCCATCGGATCAGTGCGGTGTGCTGGCCGCAGCGCGCCGGCCACCGGCCATTGGAGGGTGAACCAACGGCAAAGGAAGTCCTTTCTTTCTGTCTCTCTCACTGTCCACTCTGCCTGTTAAAAAAATAAAAAATAAAAATAAAAAAGAGTTCAGCTTCCCCACAGTCACTGCCCCCAAGCACCCAGTGGTCCTGGAAGGTGTCCTTCTGGTTCCCCCTGACAGCATGCAGGGCTGCAGGTGCTGCCTGAGCTCCCGGGCCAGCAGGCAGGCATTCACTTGGGGAGTCCTTATCACCAACTTGACACTGTACTGTGCGCTAGGGACCAGATTGAGTCGACCTCATCCCTCCCAGCCTGCACTGCCAGAAGAAATCCTCTGGGCACGAAGAAGATGAAACAAACTTCGCTTTCCTCCTGGGCATCCCTCCTCGTTTCTCTAAGGGTTTTTTCTAGCTGGGCAAGTTGCCCCTTTTCTGCAACACAAACCTGAGGATAGATTCAAAAAGCTTAGCCACTCGCTGAAGATGAAAAGGAAATGTTCGCCCAGAAAGAAAGGGAAGTTTTAAAGTGCAAATGTGAAACATTTGGAATCAGAGCACTGTTTGCAAACATCTCTGTGACTTAAAGCAAGGAAATGATTTTGTGATGACAAGTACATAGACAGAAGCATTTGTAGCAATACTTCTATTATACACCAGGTACTCAGATCTTTTTCTGATCTAGTTTATTTTTCTCCACTGCTCCATTCCATATTTTTTCATTAAAAAAAATGGTCACAGCTCACTGAATTAACTTTAAGGATTAATAATTGTTTGACTTATAGTTTTAAAGATATAAGATTATCAACACCTGAATTATTGATCCAAATTTGTTGGCGCTTTCTCCTTGATCTGACCAATGCACAGTATAGTGGACCCTGGCATCCATGAGGTTCCCAATGCCAAGTGCAGGGGAACCTGGCTGTCCTACCATGTCCATTCTCTCCTTCTTCCTGGCCATATGACAGCCCAACTAGAGACTTCTGTTTGCCTGCTTCCTTTGCAGTGAGATGGAACCATGGGTCTAAGTTGCTTCAACACAGAAATGATTATGCGGTTCTGCACTACTTGCTTAAAAGAAAATCCCTTGCCTGCAACTTTACTCCTCCTGTCAAGAACTAGGTGTGACAACCTGAACGTACGTGGAGAAAGACCATGGCCTAGAGCAGGGGCCAGCAAATTACTGCCCATGCAACAAGTGTGGCCCACTACTTGTTTGGGTAAATAAAGTTTTATTGAAACATAGGCAAGAACATTTTTTTAACATATCATGGGTGGTTATTTTTGTGCTACAATGACACAGAGTTGAGCAGTTGCAACAGAATATTAAGTCCTGCAAAGCCAAAAATATTTACTATTTGATCCTTCAGTGTAAAATTTTGCCGTTCCCTACACTAGAGGATGTAGAAGCCCTCTGCTGGTGGGGGTCTCTGGAGCACAGCCTCCCACCTTTCCTGGACTGGCCTGCGACAAAAGAAACTTCCGTCTTGCTTGAGGCTCAGCATTCTGGAGTCTCTTTATTCCAGCAGCTTGTCCTTCGTCTTATCTAACACCACCTCCGAGTCCTGTTGGACGCTAGAACACATAGTCCTCCCAGGCCAGTGTGGGCCTGTCCTCCAATGCCGCCAGCACAGTGCTCAGTCTGTGGTCCTGAACCCATGTTTTTCCAGATCTGCCTCCACATAGATTATTAGGCTCCTCAAAATCAGACTCTGCTTATTCCCTTCTGTGTTGCAGCACTTGGCAAGATGCTTGTCATACAGGAGTCCCCCAAAGGATGGGGTCCCTGGTGTCGCTCCCCCTCTTCACGGAGGAACGACACTAGACCCTGCGCTGTTCTTTTGTCTGCTCGGCCCTTCCCTGGTTTGCTGCTGGTCCTTCCCGGGTGAGCTGCCGATCCCTTCCACCTCCGTGGAAGGGCGGCTCCCCCTGCCACTTTCCCCACTTCCGTGGGGGAGCGGCACACCACCGGCCGGCTCTCTCAGGGGCTTCTGGGGGCTGCTCAGGTGTTCCTCAGGTGTTCCCCTTAGATGTTCCTGGTGCATGTTGTCTCTCTCCTCCTTTATAGTCCTCTTCCACCAATCCCAACTCTGCTACCCACACGCCGAGTACGCTGCTCTCCTCCAATCAGGAGCAGGATCAGCTCCTGCAGGTTATTGGTCGAACTGGAGGCAGCTGTGTAGAAGTTGTTTACTCCTCTCCCAGTGCCATATTGTGGGAGAGCAGATGCATAGAATTAAGTCTTAATTCCAGTAACTTAGTCTAGTCCGAGTTGCTCCCCACACCTGGGACGTGGGAAGGAAGGACATTTCCCATCTAGGCCTCAAAGAGTTCCGATCCCTGCCCTGAATTCGTAAGCCCCCTTTCACCCTCCCTGTCTTTATTTCAACCTTATTTTCTCCTTTGTTCTGGGAGTTGCTGTGAAACTTTACTTGCTTAAGAATTGTCAATAACTCATGGCTAGAATTTAAATGTGATTTGTTCCCCAAACTCACTCAGGGCCTTACACTGCAAAGTTAATGGTACTAACAGGATGCAAGTTGAACCAAATATGGTGTTTAGGAAATGGCCTGGTGGGAGGTCCTTAGGTCGCTGGTTGCCTGCCCTTGGGAAGTAGTTCTCCTCACAGGGTTGTTATAAAAACCTGAGTTTGGGCCCAGCTACTCCCTCTGCATCTGGCTCATCGTGTGGCCTTTCCTCCACATGTGCTCCACCATTGCCGTCTGCCATCCTCACCAGGGAACAAAGCAATGGGGCCATGCAATCTTGGACTTGAACCTCCAAAATTTTGACCTAATTAAACTTTTTCTATTTATAAAATTATCAGGCATTTTATGTCAATAATGAAAGGCCTAATACATACATTAATGAGGCTATTCCAGATCTAAGTGAGTTCAGATTTCTTGGCATGGATGCTAAACTGGTATTAGGTCTTGGTCTTTCTGGTTGGTCTCATTACATAACCTGTTTTCTTTGGAGCTTCAGAATTGACTTTGTAATCCCATTCAAAAGTCTTGAATTCTTTCTACTTGCCCATCAATTTTCAACTTCAGGAACATATTTAGGTCTGGATTTGTCTATAGAGTGAAACTGATACATTTGTGAATCTCTTGTACAGCCAGTCTGCTATCCAGTCCCTACAACATTTCTGATGACTCACCTTGACTTTTCTTTGATACCTTCCCATTTTAGTAACATATAGTGGGGCAACTTGCCCAAATCTTACAAAGTAAGTGCTAATGAGAACTCTGTAGCAGATAAAAGGATAGGGCCCCTCTAAGGCTTGTCAATTAAAAAAAAACTTATACTTAAAAGCATTTTTGCTAGGAGATCTAAAATTGACATTTATATTGTCTTCTAAGGAAGATAAATTAACAGTTTTACTTACAGCATTTGAGACTGACTGGTATCGATCATAGCTGATGAGGACAATGTTATACACAGATGCTGTACATAAGAGATAGTCAATGATGAGCCAAAACAGGCAGACTTCTTTTCCAAAATTCCAATTAAACAGAGTGTGGGGTATGTACAGAGGAATGGAAATCACACCTATTCAGGGAAAAAAATAAAGGTTTTAAAAAAATAGCCCACAATAACGAATACAAAGAAATATTTTCTTACTGGATACACAACACAATGACGTATCTGAATTCACTAAAAATGGCTCGGATAAAGCTTACGAAGTCCTATTTCATCAAGCATCTCTGGACAGATTTCCCCTTTAAATGCCATTTCCATAATAGCTGTCACAAACGATGTGCCTTCCATGTGTCCTCATAACTTTCCATATTGAGTACCTGTTCTCTGCACTCTTCTCTTGGGCACAACTGCGTGACTTCATATATAATAGTGGCCTTCTAATTTGTCTCTCCAGAGAATTAGGACCAGGTTGTAAGTCAATGTTTGTATCTCCTACAACATCTAACATTGACTGAAGACTCACACATTTCACTGAAACTCATGACAGCTAAGGGTGGAACCAGAACTTAGGCACTCTCGAACGGAATGTGGACATCTGAACCAGAGCAATTCTTTTTTTAATAAGTAAGTTTAATTTATTATACAAATACTAAATGCCAGACATTGTTCTGTGTGCATTTTAAATAGTGCCTCACTTAATCTTCACAGAAACTTGTAAGGGAGGAAACATGCTGAGATAACAGAATCTGAAGTTCAACAAGGAGACATAATTAGTCCAATTAGACAATTACATTCAGCCCCCATTTACCCTCTTAACTTTGTTAACCTTATTTTCTCCTAGCTAGTAAATGCAGAAGACTGGATTTGACACAGGCAGTTTGATTTCACAGGCCCTGACTTTAAGTACAAACCTTCACTGAATGAACAAATAGATGATAAACTCTACCACAGTGATTGAGTCCAGCATAGAAACTGCCTGTGAAAAATGGCTAAATTGGGCTCTTTCATCTTTAGCTTTTATGGGTTTTTAATTGCATTGATAATTCAGAGCAGTGTCCCTACTTGTGGATGATAGGATTAAGTGGAAGCTCCATTGAAGTCTGATTTTTGCTGAATATCTCCTTATGTTTTAAATTTTCATGTATTTGAGAAGCAGAGAGCTAGTGTGTATGCTCACCCACTGGTTCACTCCCCAAATGTCCACAACAGCTGGGGCTGGGCCAGGACAAAGTCACAAGCTAGGAACACAATTGAGACAAGAAGGGGAATGTGTTGGGTGGCAGGGACCCAATTACTTGAGCCATCACGTGCTGCCTCCCAGGATGTATGTTAGCAGAGAGCTAAAATCCAGAGCAGAACCAGAACCTAAACTCAGGTGCTCCAGTATGCGATGTGGCCGTCTGAACCAGAATAAGTGTATGTTTAATAAGTAAGTTTAATAATAGTACCGTTCATCTCATCAATGAGGTGTGTGTGTTGGGGAGGGTGGCTATGATGTAAAAAAGGCCACCAGGTTAACGTGAGACAAATCAAAGTACCTTGACGACTTTTTTACATTTTGACTCATAGCTGTGCTTCCCAATGCTTGCAATGTGTGTTTTTCCCACACCTGCACTCATATCTGACCCAGGGTGAGAGAAGAGAGTGAGGCGGTGAGTAGTCGCTTGAATTGCAGAACCCACCGAGGAAAAGGTGATACGGAAGAGTGTGAATTAAGCTGCCCTTTTTCACACACTTTCTGAATAACATGATGAGAAAGGAGCCCAATTTGGGGAATGAACCAGCAGATGGAAGATCCTCTCCCTCTCCCTCTCCCTCCCCACTTCCTGCCTTTCAAATAGATAGATAGATAGATAGATAGATAGATAATCTTTAAAAACCTTAGCAATGCTTGAGTGGTTAGCTTCAAACAGGTTTTGCTCTAGCTCTTCGATTTTTTTTCATAAAACAGTGTTGCCACCCTGTGTTCTATGTGACGTTTTATGCAAGTGTCATGCTCAGTGCCTCTGTCTTGCGGTGTAATGTCTGTGGTTCACTCCAAAGGACTTTCAAAAAGTGACTCTACTATCTGGGCCAGCATCATGGCACAGCTGGTTAAGCCAATACTTGCTATGTCAGTGCCGGCATCCCATATCACAGTGCTCGTTTGAGTCCCAGCTGCTTCACTTCCAATCTAGCTCCCTGATAAACCACCTGGGAGAGCGGAAGATGATGGTCCAAGTACTTGGACCCCTGCCACATATGTGGGAGACTTGAGTTTCTGGCTCCTGGTTTCAGCCTGGCCCAGCCCTGACTGTTGTAGCCATTTGGGAAGTAAACCAGCAGACAGAAGATCGATTCATATTCTCTCTCTCTCTCTCTCTCTCAAAAAAAAGTTAACTGTGCTTTTGACATTCCTGAATATCTCTATAATGTCTACTCTGGTATTTTGCTTCCAGGCCAAATAGGCTTGGTATGTGTGAGGAATCTTCAAAAATGCAAGGAAAATTTTGTGTTACAAAAAACTATGCCTGAATTTCAATTTTTTTGCATCAAAATAAATTGATTCTTTAAATTAATTTTTCAGTGAACTTCTTGATGTCCTTTCATAAAACTAAAAACCAGTTCCTGGAAGAGAATAATAAGCCCTTGGAATGTCTGAAGATTTTTAAAGTGATGGAAAACAAACTATACTAAAAGAAGGTGAAAGGGGGGAAGGAGGCAACGGAAAAGGTGAAAGGGAAGGAGAATGAGAATCAAATTTCTTGGGGGAGGAGTTAAGATGCCAGGTAGGAAGTCACATCTCATATCCGAGTGCCTGGGTTTGAGTCCTGGCTCCACTCCTGAATCCACTTTCCTACTAATGCACACCCTAGCAGGCAGCAGATAGCACTTCAAGTAACTGGGTCCCTGCCACTCACATCAAAGACCTGGAATGAGTTCCCTGCTCCTGGCTCTGGCCCTGACCTGACCCTGGCCATTGAGGGTATTTGAGAAGTGGCCCTTTTCTTTAAGTCCTGTTAAGACTTTAGGTGACTTGCTCTATTACAAGATGACCCAGGTACTTGAGCCCCTGACACACACATGGGAGATCTGGATGGAGTTGCTGGGTCCTGGCTTCAGCCTGGCCCAGCCCTCGTTGTTGTGGTCATTAGAGGAGTAAACAGGTAGACGAAAGATACCTGTGTATCTCTCTGTTGCTCTGCCAAATAACACTTTTTAAAAAGAGACATCAGTGGATGGCAATGTAGCACAAGCTGCTGCTTCTGACATAGCTTGTCACATGGCATCCCATATCAGAGTGCCAGTTCAAGTTCCAGCTGTTCAGCTTCTGATACAGCTCCCAGCTAATGTGCCTGGGAAGACAGCAGATGATAGCTCAAGGACTTGGGTCCCTGCCATCTGGGCAACACAGATGGAGTTCCTGGATCCCAGCTTTGGCCCAGCCCTGGCTGTGGTAGCCATTTGGAGGGTGAGCCAGTGGATGGAAGAGTCTCTCTCTTTCTCTCTCTCTCTCTTCAAAATACATAAATACATTTTTGGAGGGAGGGGGGAAGATATATCAGAGCTGATTCTCTTTTCACACAATTGGAGAGAGACCATGTAAGGACGCAGTGAGAAGGCAGCCATCTATAAGCTGGGAAGAGCGCCCTCACCAGGAACCGCGTTGGCCACAACCCTGACCTGGCACATCCCAACCTGCAGAACTCTAAGAAATACATTTCTGCTGCTTGTCACTAGTCTATGGTAGTTTGTTTTTTTGTTTGTTTGTTTGTTTGTTTGTTTTGTTGTTGTTGTTGTTGTTTTGACAGGCAGAGTGGACAGTGAGAGAGAGAAACAGAGAGAAAGGTCTTCCTTTGCCGTTGGTTCACCCTCCAATGGCCACTGCAGCCGGCGCACTGCGCTGATCTGATGGCAGGAGCCAGATGCTTCTCCTGGTCTCCCATGGGGTACAGGGCCCAAGCACTTGGGCCATCCTCCACTGCACTCCCTGGCCACAGCAGAGGGCTGGCCTGGAAGAGGGGCAACCGGGACAGAATCCGGCGCCCCGACCAGGACTAGAACCTGGTGTGCCGGCGCCGCAAGGTGGAGGATTAGCCTAGTGAGCCACGGCGCCGGCCCTCTGGTAGTTTTTTATGGCAGCCCAAGGAGACTAATGCGGAAGGCAAGAGAAGAGCCCTCACTTGGATATGCAGGTATGAAGGTACACTTTACCATCCTGAGAACTTGGTTCAGGCTCTGTTGGCAGCCCCCACCTTCTCCCCCTGAAGATGCTACTGAGGCCATAGATGCAGATGTGAACAAGGCACAGCTAGGAAGACAGATCAGTCATAGTGGTTTTATCAGTATGGATATGGATGGTACATTTTTCCCAATTAGAGATGAGGCATATTTAACCAATATCTGGTGAAACTGGTCCTGAAATTGTTCTCCAGTAATTCTTTACCTTGCAGATGTAAACCTGGGAAGCTAGCTACTCAGATGTCACAAATCTAGATTTTTAGCGGGGGGGGGGGGGGGGGGGGGGGCAGCATTTGGCCAGAAAGCCCACGACCAGACTGTGCCAGTGTGAGGTTCTAATCTGCCCTGCCATCATTACATGGTTCTGGAGTTCTTGTTCTCCTGACTCACACATGAAGAAAGGCTGGCTTATAGTGACAAAAAACCTCTCATGAGCCCTGTCCTCTCCACTATCTCCAAGTGTCCCTCTGTGCGCGAAGCCAAAAGGGCCACTTCCAAGCATGGTAACGTGAAAGCACAGCCTTAGCAGAGAACTTGAATCTCGTTACAAAAAGCTCTTGGGGCTTGTTGTAATTCTTGTGCCATGGCAAGTTTTGTGTTAAGCAAAGCTGGGGGTGACAGTGACAGTGTGCAGAGGGAGAGGAAAGTAAATATTGGTAGATTAATAGAGATGCTGTCTGACCTGCCCCTGACTCCTCTCTTCTGGAGCGAAGCCCATTCTTTTCCCATCCACCTGCTGGTGGGGAGGGAACGCCAAGAGGCCAACTGCTTCCCCAGCAGGGCCATTTCAAAAAGACTAGCCCTGGCTCTGCCTGTGCTGCTTAGCCCTGGACGATGGGGCTGCCATGGATCCGACCTTGGCCAGGCACACACATTCATTCTTGCCTAGAGCCACCTTTGTCCCTAAGCTTCAGGTCCCATGTTCTGTAATCTGTGCCACCTCTTCCTTCCTACCACAGGGCAGTCAAGCCCTCCCTCTCTGGGTGAATCCAACAATATCATGTATTTTAAGTGCTGGCATCAACTAAAAGTCCCACAATTCTGAGGAGGAAGAGACTGATAAGTACATTATAGCAAAATAGTCTCTATATTCACAAATATTGTACATCTGCACAGGTCCATTAAGACAGAGAATGACATGGAAGGATCTACATCAAGCTGCAAAGGTTGGTTACCTGGAGGGAAAGAATTGATGTGAGAAGTGGGGAGATCATTGCATTCTTTGACATATCTATATTGCTTGATCACTTTTACCTGCAGCCCTGTCATTTTCATGCCAGCCATGACTCCTAAGCCAGTCTCTCCACGGATGTTTCCTACAGAGCGTTCAATGCGGCATCAAAACCACACAAGGCTCCTTATTTCTATTAAGAGTGCCATGGTTTCTTCGCCTGAGAAGTCCAGCCTTCAGCTCATCTTTCTCTTTCCCCTGTGTGGCCACACCCTTTGCAGCTCCACCTGCTGGCCTCTCTTTCTGCCCTCACCCTAGCTCAGAACCTTACCCGTGATTCCTCCCTAGATTGCCACAGGACCCTCTCTGAAACCACGCAGCCACATACTGAAGCTTCCCACCTCCGACAGCTCTTCTGCCTCTAAAGGAAAGCTTCAACCCTTGCACCTCTACGTCTCCACATCACCTGCTGAATAAACTCCAATGCAGCCTCGCTGTTGTGTTCACAGGCCTTCACTGTGTAAATTCCAGCTTCATCCCCTGATGCTCCCATTCAAACATTTCCACACCAGCCCCTATATGGGCAGCAGGGGCCCATGTATTTGAACTATCTTCAATTGCCTTCCCAGGTAAGTTAGCAGGATGCTGGGTCAGAAGCAGAATAGCCAGAACTTGAACCAGAACTCCCATATGGGATGCTATCATTGCAACCTTTGACCTAATCCTCCATGTCGCAACACCAGCACTGAAACAATGATTTTTTTTAATCAGCATTCACTGCTGATTCTTGGGATGTTCTCTCATCCCCATCTGTCAATGGAAATTCTGTATATCCTTCACAGTGTGTTTGAATGCCACTAGCCACTAACTAAATGTGTTTCTGCCCCTGCTTCCAAGTACCCATAGAATGTGGTAGGTCTTCATAGAGTCTCACTGTCACTTATGAATTTCTCTTATCCTCTCCACTACTTTGAAAAAGAAACTAAAGAAGAAGCTAACACACTGTCCAATAGATCTGCCAATTAGCTAATAGTGTCTGCACACTGGACAGCACTTAGGGATGGCAGGTACTGTGACAGAGTTTGAGATCTTGGCTTGGAGTGACATAATTGCTGAGAAATCAAAAGAGGGGGCTAATATTTGTTGAACAAGAACTGTGTTCTAGGCAATGAACAAAATAGTCCGTAAGTTTCATTTTAAGATAAATATAAGCTTAATTAGCAATAAGCAAAAATGATCTGAATGTGCCAGATTAAATAATACTGGGGGGGGGGGTATTTAGCCTAGCTGTTAGCCTACTGGTGAAGATGCTGGTTAAGATTCTGCAACCCATGTTAGAGTACCTGGCTTCTTCCCAGTTACAGCTCCTGACGCCAGCCTTCTGTTAATGCAAACTCTGGGAGACAGTGGTGATGGGTCAAGTAATGAGGATCCTGCCATTTTTGTGGGGGAAAACTGGATTAAATTCCCAGTTCCGGCTTCAGCACGAGCCTAGTCATAGTCATTGCAGACTTCGGGGGATGAACCAGCAGATGGGACCACTTGCATGCTCCTGTGCGCTTGCTGTCTTTCACTCCCTCAAATAATTAAATACATAAATAAATAATCTTAAGTGAAGTAATAGTTACAACATCATATAAAACAATATACCTAACATTTCTGCAGTTCTGATCATTATGGTAAGCATTGCTTAAAAATGCTAACAATCAGGCAATGAAAAATTATAAAGTTTGTGTTTTTAAAGGAAGATTACTCTTATTTTTATGGTCTCTTTACCCATATATAACACTGTGATACTCTTGTTAATTGTGAGATAGCTTAGTGTTGGGTATATTTTGCAATACTTTTGCATATCATAAAATAACACTATTAACCATAGTATTTAATTTACCTGAATACATGATTTCTGTTTGTTATGGTTACCAGCATACATATTTCCTATTACTCCAACACTATGATACTGAGGAAACTAAGGGATGCTTACATTTCTAAATCTACACATACAAGAAAATACCTATAGAAACAAGTGCTTCTCACATTCAGGATCTTTATAATTATTCTGGACTTTATAAAATTATTCTGGACTATTCTATAAAAAGAATAAACTGTGTTCAGATGAAAATCCCCTCCGACACTGGCTCTCACATTCATGGCACGCCCTTAGCAGGCCACACAGTCCTCCCAAGACTTCAGTAGTGAGCGCTCTTGTTTTCACCCTCCCCAATCTCATTCAGTGCATTTTATGGTTTCAGAAATAAATTATAACTGGAAGAATATTTTAAATAAAGATATAACTTACCCACAAAGAAGTCAGAAATGGCCAAATTAAGAAAAAAATAATTACTCCGATGTCTAAGGTTTTTGTCCACTACAAAAGCTAAAATGACCACCGCGTTTCCTACCGTTATAAAAAAAGCTAGTAAGGACATTAAAAATGCTAAAGCAATATTAACGCTTGATAAGTGAGTTGTGCTGTTAGTATTGGACATCGCACTAAAAGAAGAGCTTCACAGGAGCAAGTGAGTCCTGCCAGACAATCCTGAGTCGCGTGTAGCCCAGCCAGATGCCCAGAATGTGCTTTCTCCCACTTTTAAAGCAACTCCTTAATCTCAAGATGATCTCGTAGTACTTCCTGATTCCTGATAAGGAAACTTGTGGTAACAGTTTCCCTTTAACTGACTCTCAGAAACAAGTACTTGCCAAAAATGGGGAAATGTTTTCTCTGAAACATTCTTTGTAAGATTTTATTTTATTTGAAAGAGTGACACAGAGATGGAGGGAGGGAGGGAGGGAGGGAGGGGGAGGGAGAGAGGGAGAAAAGGGGGCAGGAGGGGAGGGGTAAAGGAGAGAGATCATCCACTCCCCAGGTGGCCAACATTGCCAGAGCTGGGCTAGGCTGAAGCCAAGAGCCAGAAACTCCACGAAGGTCTCGCACAGGGTTGGCAGGGGCCCAAGCACTTGGGCTATCTTCCACTGCTTTCCCAGGCACGTTAGAAGGGAGCTGGATCTGAAGCAAAGCGCCTGGGACTTGAACCAGCACTCTGATGCCAATGTCGTGGCCTATAGCTTAACCTGCTGTGCTACACTCTGGCCCCTTCTCTTAAACATTCTATTTTTTTTTAAGGTTTACTTATTTGAAAGGCAGAGAGAGAGAGAGGTAGGTCTTCCATCTACTGGTTCACTCCCCAAATGGTTGCAATGGCTGCGGCTGGGCCAATCTGAAGCCAGGAGCCTGGAGCTGCTTTTGGGTCTGCCATGTGGGCACAGGTACCCAAGGACTTGGGCCATCTTCTATTTCTTTCCCAGGCCATAGCAGAGAGCTGGAGTGGAGCAACCAGGACTCAAACCGGCACCCACATGGGAAGCCAGCACTACAGGCAGCAGATTGAACTTCTACAACACAGCGCCAGCTCATCTCTTAAACATTCAAATATCGTTCATCCATCTCCTATTAACAGGGCGCTATTATGTAATACTAGAAAACATAACTGACATGTTCATAGGTTAAAATGAGATTCATTTTTAAAGCTAACCTAGATCCAGTTAAATGTCCCCTTCTGGATGCGAGAGAGATTAGGAGATGGGATGGTTTGTGGGTGGGAGGGTGGTCATGGGGGGAAAAACCGTTATAATCCAAAAGTTGTATTTTTGAAATTTGTATTTATTAAATAAATGTTTTCTAAAAAAAAAAGTCCCTTTCTGGCCATACTGGGTAACAGGGCTGAGTTTTATGATCCCATCTAAAAATAATCAAAAAGTGGAGAGTCATTCTCAAGGCATTGGTTATGAGATGGTGAAGGGCCGTGAGTCCCGCAGAAGGGAAAAGCAAGGTGAGGCCTGCAGTGGCCCCAGGTCTCGGGGTGTGGGCAGGGAGGGGAAATCCAAGCAGAGTCCAACAGACTCCCTGGAATGGGGGGCTGGAGCTGAGGGCCCAGGGTAGCAGAGAGGACTCTGAGCTGCAGAGATGCACTGAGGGAGAGCTCTGGAGTCTGCAGCTGCCGCCCCTCAACCCGGTCCCCCAGGTACTGCGCAGAGGACGGACCAGCACAATGCAAGGAGACACTCTCGGGCAGCAGAAAGAGTCACGCAAAGACTCAGGGTTAGGGTTTGAGGTACAGTGGGTTAAGCCACCACGTGGAATGCCATCCCATATCAGGGTCCTGGGGTGACTCCCACCTCTGCTTCCCATGCAGCTTCTTGCTAGTGAACTCCGGGAAGGCGGCAGATGATGGCTCAACCATTTGAGATCCTGCTACCCTTGTAAGAAACCCAGATGGAATTCCTGGCTCCTGGCTTCCGTCTGGACCTGCCCTGGCTGTTGCAGGCAATGGGGGAAGTAAACCAGCATATGGAAAATCTCTGTCTCTGTTGCTCTGCCTTTCAAAAAAAACAGGTAAACTTTTAAAAAGCAAGAGATTGGAAAGAACAGTATCCAGTGCCCACTGGATGATTATAGTGCCTGCTCACATCAACCAGATATTTAAAAAAATCTCAATTTATGGGGCACTGGGCAATATATTTGCAAGAATCTTCTCTTGGGAGTTGGAAATAGTAGTCCTATATTAAATTCATCATGGGTCATGCCTTTCAAATACGGAAAGCAAGATCTAAAAGGATCAAACTGTTTCCAAGTAATTTAACCACAGCTGTATCACAGCTCAAGAATGTTCAAGAACATTAAAATATTCAGTCCCAGCAAGGTAAAACTTCTCTGGAATCCAATTAAAAATGATCAGGCTTGGCCAATGCCACGGCTCACTAGGCTAATCCTCCACCTGCGGCGCTGGCACCCCAGGTTCTAGTCCTGGTCAGGGCGCTGGATTCTGTCCCGGTTGCTCCTCTTCCAGTCCAGCTCTCTGCTGTGGCCCGGGAGGGCAGTGGAGGATGGCCCAAGTGCTTGGGCCCTGCACCCGCATCGGAGACCAGGAGGAAGCACCTGGCTCCTGGCTTCAGATCGGGGCGGTGCACCGGCCGCAGCACGCCACCGGAGCAGCCATTGGGGGGTGAACCAACGGAAAAGAAAGACCTTTCTCTCTGTCTCTCTCTCACTGTCCACTCTGCCTGTCAAAAAAAAAAATCAGGCCTGACAAGAAACTGGCAGATACTGAGAGAAAAATCAATCAATTGAAACCAATCCAGAACTGACACAGATATTAGAATTCATAGACAAGGATATTAAAAAACAGTCATGATAGCTGTCCAAGGATTTCATATTTTCATAAAGATAAATATTCTGAGGATTTTTTAAGACTTAAACTTCTAGAAATGAAAATTAGAATATCTAAACTGAAAACATGTTAGAAAGAATTAGAGATACAGTATTGCAGAAGAAAAAAATTAATGAACTTGAACTTATAGCAGTAAAATCCACTCAAAAGGAAACACAGGGATCAGTATCTGGTCAGCAAATGAGTTGCCACATGGGATGCCCACATGCCATACTGGAGTGTGTGGTTCAAGTCCCAGCTACTCCACTCTGACTGAGCGTCCTGCTAATGCATACCCTGGGTGGTTCCAGTACTTGGATCCTTGCCACCCACATGGGAGACCCCATGGGAGTCTCGGCTCCTCTCCCACACTCCCTCTCTTTCTCTCTACCCACTCCCTCTCTTCCTCTGCCTTTCAAATTAAACAAAAATGTTTTTTCTTAAAGTGAAAATGAAATAAAAGAATTCTAGAAAATTAACACAACATCTCTAAGTTATAGGATGATTTCAAGTAACCTAATTATGTCTGAGAGGAGTCCCTGAAGGAAAGATAAGAGGAGGAAACAGGAAAAAACTTTGAGAATTAATGGCCCAAAACTCAAAATTTGAAAACTGAGAACTAGGAAGCTTAATGAATCTTAAACACAACAAATACATAGAAAACTACACAAGGCACTTTAAAAAAATTTCTCAAAACCAACATTAGAAAGAAAAATCCTCAGAGCAGCTGTGGGCAGAGGGCAACACACAACATACAAGGTAAGAAAGACTTGAATGTCGGCAGATTTCTCTTCGGAAGCAACACAAGCAAGTAAACAGTGGCTGCAACATCTTTCAGGCGTTGGAAGGCAAGCTGTCGACCTAGCAGCCTACACTTGGTACACATATCTTTCATAAACAAAGGCAAAATAAAGGATTCTTCAGACCTCAAAAATTCCCTTTCCCAGGTTTAACTCTCAAGGGTGAGTCTTCTCCTGACATCAAAAAGCGCACATTGGAGGTATGCATTGGGTACATTGGTTAAGTTGCAACTTGGGATGCTTGCATGCCTATTAGAGAGCCTGGGATTGAGTCCTGGCTTCACGTCCACTTCCAACTTCTTGCTAACACATACCTTGGAAGACAGCAAGTCCCAGCCACTCACATGGAAGACTCTGATGTGCTTTCTAGCTTCTGGCTTTGGCCTGGCCCAGCCCCAGCTGTTGCAGACATCTGAGGAATAAAATAGAAATCGAAGCGCTCTCTCTCTCTCTCTCTCTCTCTCTCTCTCACACACACACGCACACATATTCTCCCTCCCTCCTCCCCTCTCTCTCTCTTTCCAAAAAAATGAAAACAAAATGAGTTTAAAAAAAAGAAAACCATACATTAATTTCACCCACTTTTTTATCTTAGAATTGTATATTTAAAAATTATATTAAAACACTTCTTATATATTAATGCTACATGATCTACTTAGTCTATTGAATTACAAAGAATTCTTGATCTACATCTCCATAATTTATTAGTCTCATTTGTACTGCTTTTAAATACACTGAAATGAAGAAAAATAGGAATTGATTACATATCCCCCTCTTTATAATGTCACTGGAAGGAAAAAGTTTTCTCACTTGCTAACTTGAGTCTGGCACTCTTTCATGGAAAAATTCTAGCCAAAATGTGTTCATCAAGTATGCACTTCAATATCAAGGAAACGTTCTTAAGGATAAAAATACAATTACAACTGAGTTCAGAACCTTTGTCTTCAGCCTAAAGTTCACCACCAGAAAGATGCCAGTTCCCATAGAACAACCCACTTTGATGAACAGGGGGCAAGCTGAGATTCTCCCCACTCCCTCCCTCCCCCCTACTTGAGGCCTAAGAGAAATGTTCTCCTAAGCTTTTTCATAAAACATAATTTTACTAAAATTCATACAAGTTTTCCAGTTATTTATCTAACATGCAATTTTATTGTATTTTTTTGAATTTATTTGACAGATTGAGTTAGACAGTGAGAGAGAGAGACAGAGAGAAAGGTCTTCCTTCCGTTGATTCACCTCGCAAATGGCCACCACAGCCGGAGCTACACCAATCCGAAGCCAGGAGCCAGGTGCTTCCTCCTGGTCTCCCATGCGGGTGCAGGGCCCAAGGACTTGGGCCATCCTCCACTGCCCTCCCGGGCCACAGCAGAGAGCTGGACTGGAAGAGGAGCAACCGCCCATATGGGATGCCGGCGCCGCAGGTGGAGGTTTAACCAAGTGAGCAATGGTGCTGGCCCCTGAGGCCTAAGAGAAACTTAAGAGTAGCATGGGGACCTCCCTACCTATAATACTTCAGGTCAACACCCTCAATGGCCGGCACCGCGGCTCAATAGGCTAATCCTCCACCTGCTGCACTGCCACACCGGGTTCTAGTCCCGGTTGGGGCGCCAGATTCTATCCCGGTTGCCCCTATTCCAGGCCAACTCTCTGCTGTGGCCAGGGAGTGCAGTGGAAGATGGCCCAGGTCCTTGGGCCCTGCACCCGCATGGGAGACCAGGAGAAGCACCTGGCTCCTGCTTTCAGATCAGTGTGGTGTGCTGGCTGCGGCAGCCATTGAAAGGTGAACCAATGGCAAAAGGAAGACCTTTCTCTCTGTCTCTCTCTCTCTCACTGTCCACTCTGCCTGTCAAAAAAAAAAAAAAAAAAAAAAAAAGACCCTCAGTTCACTGCTCAGGCAGACCACAGTGAGTTAAATAACATCATATTTAGTAGACTATTTATCTCTTTTTTTTTTTAATTATTTGAAAGGCAGAGACAGAGAGAGATCTTCCATCTCCTGGTTCACTCCTCAAATGGCTGCATCTGCAAGCAAGAGCCAGGAGCTTCTTCTGGGTCTCCATGCAGGTACAGGGACCCAAGCACTTTCCCAGGCCATAGCAGAGAGTTGGATCAGAAGTGGAGTATCCGGGACTCAAACCAACACCCATAAGGGATGTTGGCACTGTAGGTGGTGGCTTTAACTGCTATGCCACAACACTGGCCCCCTTACCTTTCTTTCAACATAGCAGGTTAATAGAAATTGGAATGAGTAACCAAAACATCTGCTAGAGAAGATGAACATGGCAAAGAAGCAAAAGGCAGCTCTAAAAACCCCCCGTATTGTGCTTGGCAATTTAAAGTGAGGGGATTAAAAGTGTGGTTCTGCTAAATGATTTACTTCTTTGGTAGAATTAGGTAAGACATATGTTTACATATTGCCTATGGCTGTTTTGGTGTCACAACAGCAGATTTGAGTAGTTGTATCAGACACCTACAAGACTTAAGCAAGCCTAAAATGTTCACTATCTGGCTGCTAGGAATTGGGTTTGCCCCTGAGGGTACCTGTGATTAAATGTAACCTCTCATTGTGAGGTAATAATAGGGTATAAACCTAATCCAACTATGGTGTTCAATGCTGAGCCTTTGTGTGTGTGGTGGTTGTGGGGGGGTAATCAGGGTTACATACGCTCATCAGCACAGAGCCCTAATGATTGGGTCATGGTTGCTGCATAAAGGGGGGTGGGGAAGAGAGATTGCAGAGGACATAACATCTGCACGCCCTGTTCCTGCCTTGTGATGTGCCCTACCACCTTAATGCTGCCAGCAAAAAGGTCTTCACCAGACACAGTCCCTCAACCTTGGACCCCCAGACCTGCGAGCCAACGTCGACCTCTTTTTTGATTACCTCACCCAGCCTCAGGTATTTCATTGCCATAATGAAAAATCAACTAATATATTAGCCCTTTAAGAAATAGTGTGTAGTTTAAGGAGATGGAATTGCTAATTGCCCTAATTCTATCATTATATATTTTATACATGTATTGAATTATCATATTGTACTCCACAAACATGTGAATTATAGTGTCAAAATAAAGAATAGTTTGCAGACTCAAAAACAAAATAGAGGGAAAGTGGTAAGAAGTGACACAGGTATTTACATACAAGTCTTCCCTATGTCACACAATCTTCCTTTTTAATAGTGACTCTAGTAGTCCCTGAAAACAGAACTCTCCTTAAGGATCCCAAGTCTAGCAATATCCCAAAGCAGATCATATGTATATTTGTAGCTAAATGCAAAAATTTCAAAGGGATTGATAAGATCGTTTTCTGTTCCCTGCACCTGGCCAAGCTAGAACTAACCATGCAGTGTTTTACTGACTTGTGAGAAGGACAATCCCATTTCTCTACATTCATCCCATCTGACCCCCTGTGATTGGGATTGAACCCCAGGGGGAACCCTGGCCTGCATCATCTTGCTACCAGCAATGCACACTAAGCCTCATAACTTCACCAGCAGAGCTTGCTTGAAGGAAATGTTTGGCTTCAAATTCAGAATAAATGGAACAAAGATGAAATTGTGGTGGAAAGAAGAGTGGTTAATAAGGGGGAATTATAAAAGGGAAAATCGTAACTTAATGGTGATGTCTTAAGGGCCCCTCAGAAGAAGAATATATTCTCTTTTACCTTTTATTCAGTCGCCCCTTGGAGTGAAAGACTTTGTTTTTCCAAACCTCCTCTTTTGATGAGCCAAGAAGTAAGTGGAACAGCAGCCAGCACCGTGAACATGCATGTACTCCGAGGGTGGTCTCTGTCTTCAACATGAATGAACAGCTGGACGCACTGACTGGAACTGTGAAACAATCCTGATGTGGCCATGCCTTTTAGGTCCCCTTGGACAGGACAGAGCTATTATTGAAGGCCTCAGGGAACAAAGTGTGGAAATGTGTATCCAGTTGAATCTGGAAAACATTGATACTAATCTGAAAGCACACTGCATTAATTGTGAAGATGATGATTTTTAAAGGCTTATTTAGTTTGAAAGAGTTAGAGAAAGAGAGACAGATTGTCCATCCGCTGGTTCACTCCTCAAGATGGCTGCTCAAAGAGCCAGGAGCTTCATCCAAGTCTCCCACATGGGTAGCAGGGGTACAAGCACCTGGGTCATCACCTTTTCCCAGGCCGTTAGCAGGGAGTTGGATAGGAAGTGGAGCAGCCATGACATGAGCCAGTGCCCATATGGGATGCCAGTGTTGCCAGCTGTGATGATTAAGCTATAAGGAAGATACTTAATTGTGATGATGAAAGTATAAGGAAGGAACTTAAGTGTAGTGATAAAGGTGTAAGTTTGTTTAAGTCTGCTGTATATCTCATCTGTCAAAATAATGTGTGTAAAACTAGTTTTCTTGCATAAAGAGATAGAGGGATAATTGAGACACTTAGATCAATGAAAAAAGAAAAATAAATTGGCCTGACTTGATGGCTTCTCATTACTGAGAATGAAAAGCCAGAAGAAATTCCACATGACTGGCTGTGGCATGCCATACTGCCCAATCCAAAGTCCATTTGGCAGCGACTACTATGCAGGTGATCTTAGCCTGAGGGAGTCAACATTGTGGAGCCTGAGTTTATTTTCCTAACCATAACAAGGTACTCAGGATCATCAAGAGGTCTGATGGATCCAACGGCATCATCCTGCTTGAAATGAGAGGGCCTTAAGAGAATCTGGAGCTGGGCAGATAGTAATCAATGACAAATTCACCGTTAACGGGGAGGCATATTTGCAGGGCAAGATGGGGGAGATGTCTGGCACAAAAGAGGACTCTCCAAGGCATCCTCCCTTCAGGAGGAAGGACAAGGATGGTGGTAGGAATTGTGACATAATGCTGATAAGACAGGTCTTGCAATTAGACCAGACACTAGGACAGCATGTCCAAACCAGGTTCTGAGAGCGAGCTTGCATGGACACATGGCTGCAGTACTAGATACCTTGGTCCAAACGGAGGTCAAGGTATCCCAGGCCCAGCGGCTGGAGTTTCTCACAGCAGGAGCTCAGCCTGTGCACTTAGGAGAGGCCAAAGGGCTGCTCAGTCTATAGAGATTTGTGATCAGAGACAACAACCCACCAAGGCACTCTGTCACAAGACTAGTGCCACTGCTGAGTTCTAACCATTTTCCTCCTCAAATACAGGAAACCTAAATGCAACGATTTCACAGGGATTGAAAGGAGAAATGTTCCATTACCTGCACCTTGCTAAGTTGGAGCTGAGTGTTGGAAAAATGCTCATCATGTCTACAGGGCTTCCAATGAGGAAGTACTGTCAGACTGCAGAATGAGAGAAAAGGAAGCTGACTATGTGTACAGGAGACTTGGAATACTGCAGGGACAGAGATATGGCCTCTAACCTATATTCCTGGGAGAAAAGGTTGATTCTTGTTGGGAGGAAGAAAACTGATATATAATTAAGTCTGACTGCTATCATATCACAGAGTACTATGATACTTTGTATGAAATAATATAGAAAGCATAGACAATATATAATAGAAACTAAGGAAACTTATGACAATACTAGATGGTTTGGCAAATGTTCTGTGAGTTTGAATGAAAACCCCCTCACACTATCATCCCAATGGAAGAAAACTCACCCAAAGAAGATCTAGACTTGATGATAATTAGTACTTTGTGACAACTAGTACAGATCACTGTAAATCAGGGAGGCAAAAGACTACAGAGTTAGTCTAAAATATGAGAAAGTTTGTCCTATTTTGTTCTAGTATTGTTCAGCTGCCTGGGTTTTTTTTTTTTCTTTACATTTTTCATTTATTTTTACTTATTTGAAAGACAGATTTTCCACCTGTTGGCACTCTCCCCAAATGCCCAGAACAGTCACCGCTGGGCCAAACTGAAGCCAGGAGCCTAGAACTCCACTTAGGTCCCCGACAAGGGGAGGAAGGACCTTTGTACTTGAGCCAACTTAACAGAAGCAGGAATTGGAAGCAGAGTTGGAACTTGAACCCAGCTATTCTGATATGGGCTATGGGCATCCCAAGAGGCATCTTAACAGTTGCGCTAAACGCCTGCTTGCAGCTGCCTGCTTAAATCTATACCAACCTCTCACCAGTTATCACAGATGTCTGCTAAACCCATGCCAACCATATAGTTGTCATATAGTTGATTTGATTGTCTATGTGATTACATGATGCTGTAAGGCAAGTAATTGCTGTCAAACCAAGAGTTAGCCATTGGCCTTACAAAGGCTCTAATCTTGATTTGGCAGAGTGCAGGGATGAAATATGCTATAAGGGCTAATTACAGAAGGTCTGCAATTGTCTTCACTGTTTAGTTAACATACCTGCAAGGTACTGCTCTCTAGTAGAGGCATAAGATGCACTGATTAGTAGTATTGTTTTGTAGCCATAGGTCTGAGGAGTTCCAGGGCAGCTTGTTCCGGCTTTCAGCATTGTTTATGGTTACCAGTGAGATTGATGGTTTGCACCTGGTCTCCAGGAAACCCCAGCTGATTCTGCTGTTGGAGCTGCATATGTAGCAAGAATTTGCCTGTGTGATCAGCAAGGTGTGAGAAATCCCAGCTGAAGCTCCATCTGGGACCCTCTGGATTCCAGCTGTTCCATGCATATGTCAATGGTCCCTGGTCCTAAAAAGAAGACCCCATGTGTGATGCTAACAAAGAGAGGACATCTGGATCTCAGACCTGGGTTCCCTAGACCCCTGGTGGTCAAGTAGGCCTTGGCTGGGATACATTTCCTTGCTCCAATGCTGGTGCAATATCATAGTGGATGCTTTTCTTGCAATAAGCCACAGATTTGTAAGCATTGTCATTTTGGTCCCTATGAGTCTTCTTTAGCAATTAATCTCTGTCTAACTGTTACCACTAGTGCACTTAGATTCCACAGACCACAGGACAAGAACAGGTATAGCCACATTTTCTCATCTGCATGTCCTCTGCCCCTACTGCCCCCCAAAACCTCCACCCCAACACACACAGACATTTTCTCTCCTAGGACCAGCACTTGCATTCCTCTCTCTTAGCAGAAAGCAGGCAACTTATGAGAAACAGCAGAAAGTGCAAGATTCTGTGGCCAGTGTTGTGGTGCAGTGGGTTAAGCCGCCACCTATGGCACCCTCTTCCCATATGGTTGCTGGTTCAAGTCCTGGCTGCTCTACTTTTGATTCAGTCCTTGCTAATGTGCCTGGGAAAGCAGAAGATGGCCCAAGTACTTGGGTCCTTGTCACCCACGCAGGAGACCTGGGTGGCATTCCTGGCTCCTGACTTTGGCCTGGCGATTTGGGGAGTGAACCAATGCTTGGAGGATCTCTTTCTCTCTCTCACTCTCTAACTCTGCCCTTCAAATAGGTAGATAAATCTTATAAAAATCAATTTAAAAATTCATGAAATATACATATTATTAAAAACTGCATGATTAAACAATGTGCAATACAATAAAATGTGAGCTCTTTGATAGGAAGAAGAAAAATCTTAGTAAAGGAAAGGCTGAAGAAATAAAACTTCAAGCAAGAGATAGAAGAAAAACACAAAAATGAAGGCTGAGAAAGTATTTGCTTGGGCCATCTCTGTAAGCTTGTGCAGTAAGGGCACACTCCTGGTGTAGCCCAAAAGGGCAGAGTCACAAAACCAGTGGTGCAGCACCAACTCTGCCCTCCACCTCACTGGGCCCAGACTTTGTATATGAAGGCTTACCATGAAGAGTTGCCTAAGTAGGCACTGGGAAGCAGTACATAATCAAAACCAACAGCTCCCTTAATGTGTGTTACCCTGAAGCAGATCATTGGTAGGTGATTCCAGGATATACTGAGGAAGTGGGCAGAGGAACACCACCTAAGGGTACGTTGTCAAGCAAGCTGCCAGTTGGGTTACATGAAGCATAATCCCACCGGGAGCC